TTATTTAGACAATCAAACTGGAGCAGCAGTTACATCCAAAATGTTTTGAAAAGCATTAGTGGACAACAATTTTGCACATCCTTATGAATTTATATTTCTAAGTTCAATCAATGAAAACATTTGTTTTCTTTTCTTTTTTATATGTTTGGTTGCTAATAGAGCTTGCGTGAATATGACAAATAGTATCATAATGTATATGCAAGCTGCAACCTGACGCAGGCAACTGTAAAGATGGGGGATTTCCCCCTCACGTGTACTGTATACATTTATGAAAATAAAGTATTTTTTTTCACCTGGTCTTCTTATGCCTCATGAATATGTGTGGCCTGCTGTGATTCACAAAACTCACAGCCTCACAGAGCCAAATACAGATTTGGTTGATCTACATGCACAAAGCATTTAGATGCAAGTTTCCTAGATCTATGTTTAATTAGCTGGAGTCAATTATTTTGGGGTGAAAAAGTTCCACAGCTACTCTTACAAGGGTGAAAAGCTTTTTTGCCTTGGTAAGCTGTTTTCCACAGTGAGGAATAAACATAGTAAAATGCTAACATATGCTAATTGGAGTGCTTGCATTTCCATTTGCCCGCAGAGAATAGTGGGGTTCATTAACTGAACAAACAGGACCTGCTTTCTCGAAATATCACTTTAATTAAGACCACCAACATGAATGCAAGCGTTTGAGGGGGAGGGGGCTCAGCTCCAAATGCCACACCTGGATGTGAGCTGGCCTGTGCCCCCCCCCCCCCCCCTGCCCTTTTACATCTGACTTCTCAGGGAATTAGTTCCTCCCATGGTTAGAGCTGGCCACTGGCCAGAAATGAGCAGCGTAATTAGGTCATTGTATGGTTCAGATTTAGAATAATTCGGTTAATAAGGAAACAGGGGTCCACAGAGAGCATGGAGGGGAGCGGGCTAACCTTCTCTGTAAGGTGATCCGTAGGGACGGCCTGAGGGGGGCATCCATATTTAGGTCAACTTGGCTCAGGCTACTTTCAGATGAGTTAGGGTTGGAGCTCTGTTCTTAGAATAGAGCTGTAGGATTTTCTGACGGAAGAAAAACAAAAAAATTATGTTACTTAACAAATCTATTCAGAGACATTACATTCATATATGTCTTAACATGGAGAACAAACTGAATAGGCCCATACAAATGTAAGTTTCACTTGAACCCAGCAGTCAGTGTAACTGCAGTGAAATTATAGTGTTATTTTGAGTACGGTCATTACGATCTCAACTACTATCACTTCCATTTATGGGATATAATATTATATATTACTTATATATAAAAGTTGTATCACTTCAAATCTTTGAACTATGCTGGTCAGTCCCACTGGGAGCTGTCCATCACCATAGTGCTGAAATGTGTTTCTGACTGGTAGAACTGGTGGTTCTTTTCTAGCCCGCTGTAATTTGGTTAGTCGTCCACCAGAGGGCGCATAGAGCATTACTTACTAAATACTGCTGCAGTTTGTTGAATTAAATGATTTTGAAGCAAAACATAAATATAAAATACAATCCGACAAAAACTGTGTTACAACAGCTTAGTAAATACAA